TATATGTAGCTACTACTATCCCTTTTCAGAACAATAAGTAGTAAATGTGAAGCTAATACTTTCACTACCATCACAGTCCAGGGCCCCGTTCCTCAAAGCGATCTTAGCACTACGATGATCGTAAGCCTATGTTAAAGTATGGGACTTACGATCACCGTAGTGCTAAGATCGCTTTGAGGAACGGGGCCGAGAACTGTAAGAAGTATATGTTCGGCAACTTCAGTTACATTCCAGAACTATGTATGGTATATTTTCACCTACTACTATCACGTTCCAAGATTGTGAGTAGTTTATGTTCCGGTACACCATGACATTCCATGGATATTCCACAGCTACGAATGATATATTTTCCCCTCCTACTATCACATTCCAAAACTGTATTTTTAGCATCTACTATCACAATTTGGAGACAAACGATCAGATATGAAGATACAGATAGTGAGAGGGATGCCCTGACGGCAATGTAAGCAGGTGGAAGAAAACTGTAAAGACAAGTATTTGTCACAGAGTGACGAAATATCCCCCGCCTGTACACCATAGTACCAAATATGAAGACAATCCAGCGATTAGTTCTTGAGATATTGTGGCAACACCGTTTTCCAACTCCAAAAACAGATTTGCCTGCTGTGACCTTGAAAATGGGGTCAAGGTCACCAAATCTGACAGGTGTATGCGGTGTCTGTATATACACTATAGTTCCAAATATGAAGACAATCCAGCGATTAGTTCTTGAGATATCGCGGCAACACCGTTTTCTAACTCCAAAAGCAGATTTGCCTGCTGTGACCTTGACAATGGGGTCAAGGTCACCAAAACCGACTGGTGTCTGCGGTGTCTGTATATACACCATAGTTCCAAATATGAAGACAATCCAGTGTTTAGTTCTTGAGATATCGCGGCAACACCGTTTTCCAACTCCAAAAGCAGATTTGCCTGCTGTGACCTTGAAAATGGGATCAAGGTCACCAAAACCGACTGGTGTCTGCGGAGTCTGTATATACACCATAGTTCCAAATATGAAGACAATCCAGTGTTTAGTTCTTGAGATATCGCGGCAACACCGTTTTCCAACTCTAAAAGCAGATTTGTCTGCTGTGACCTTGAAAATGGGATTAAGGTCACCAAAACCGACTGGTGTCTGCGGAGTCTGTATATACACCATAGTTCCAAATATGAAGACAATCCAGGGTTTAGTTCTTGAGATATCGCGGCAACACCGTTTTCCAACTCTAAAAGCAGATTTGTCTGCTGTGACCTTGAAAATGGGATCAAGGTCACCAAAACCGACTGGTGTCTGCGGAGTCTGTATATACACCATAGTTCCAAATATGAAGACAACCCAGTGTTTAGTTCTTGAGATATCGCGGCAACACCGTTTTCCAACTCTAAAAGCAGATATGCCTGCTGTGACCTTGAAAATGGGATCAAGGTCACCAAAACCGACTGGTGTCTGCGGAGTCTGTATATACACCATAGTTCCAAATATGAAGACAATCCAGGGTTTAGTTCTTGAGATATCGCGGCAACACCGTTTTCCAACTCTAAAAGCAGATTTGCCTGCTGTGACCTTGAAAATGGGATCAAGGTCACCAAAACCGACTGGTGTCTGCGGAGTCTGTATATACACCATAGTTCCAAATATGAAGACAATCCAGTGTTTAGTTCTTGAGATATCGCGGCAACACCGTTTTCCAACTCTAAAAGCAGATTTGTCTGCTGTGACCTTGAAAATGGGATTAAGGTCACCAAAACCGACTGGTGTCTGCGGAGTCTGTATATACACCATAGTTCCAAATATGAAGACAATCCAGGGTTTAGTTCTTGAGATATCGCGGCAACACCGTTTTCCAACTCTAAAAGCAGATTTGTCTGCTGTGACCTTGAAAATGGGATCAAGGTCACCAAAACCGACTGGTGTCTGCGGAGTCTGTATATACACCATAGTTCCAAATATGAAGACAACCCAGTGTTTAGTTCTTGAGATATCGCGGCAACACCGTTTTCCAACTCTAAAAGCAGATATGCCTGCTGTGACCTTGAAAATGGGATCAAGGTCACCAAAACCGACTGGTGTCTGCGGAGTCTGTATATACACCATAGTTCCAAATATGAAGACAATCCAGGGTTTAGTTCTTGAGATATCGCGGCAACACCGTTTTCCAACTCTAAAAGCAGATTTGTCTGCTGTGACCTTGAAAATGGGATCAAGGTCACCAAAACCGACTGGTGTCTGCGGAGTCTGTATATACACCATAGTTCCAAATATGAAGACAATCCAGGGTTTAGTTCTTGAGATATCGCGGCAACACCGTTTTCCAACTCCAAAAGCAGATATGCCTGCTGTGACCTTGAAAATGGGATCAAGGTCACCAAAACCGACTGGTGTCTGCGGAGTCTGTATATACACCATAGTTCCAAATATGAAGACAATCCAGTGTTTAGTTCTTGAGATATCGCGGCAACAAACAGGTGGGACGTACGGACGGACGTACGGACGTATGGACGTACGGACGTACGGACGTACGTACGGACGGTCGTGAATACTATATCCCCCGCTTCGCGCTTTCGCGCGGCGGGGGATAAAAAGATTAAGATATAGATACAGTCAGTGAGAAAGAAGCACTGATGGTTATGTAAGCAGATGGACAAACTATAGGACAGAAGATTGTATTATGTAGATACAGACAGTCTTCGAAAATTACTGAAGGCTAGGTAGGTAGGTGAGAGAATAATGTAGAAAGAATAGTACATGTAGATACAGATAGAGAGAGGGAAGCACTGATGGCGAGGTCTACAAGGAAGTCTGGTGTTACACAATAGGTGGGAGAATACTGCAGACAAAATACGTTTATTGTTACAAAGGTAATAGAGGAGATGCATTAATCACTCTGTGTAGCTGTTTCGATGTCAAGTCATGTATGCTTCAGTGTTGTAGCTGTCTACATACATATATCCTGTGTTCCAGAAACAAGTGACGAGATCGAGATGATCGAGATTGACCCACCGAGACTCATGGCAAATGAGAATTCTGATCAACAAGGTAGCTTGGACAAAACTGTATACAGAAGGGAATCACTAATGGCTACACAGGAGTCTGATTTACAGGGTAGATTGCAGAATACTTTAGACAGGACATTCGCTGTAGATACCGACAGTGAGATGTAAGAACTGATGGCTGGGTAGGTTGGGAAACGCTGTAGGCCGAAGATTAGAAATAGATGCAGACAGAAAGACGGAACCTCTGATGGCTAGGAAGGTAGGCAGGAGAACACGGAAGTCGGACGATTAGATGTAGATACAGACAGTGAGAGGGATGCACTGATGGCTGGGTAGGTGGGGAATACTGTAAATACAAGATACGTGGTTTGATAGATAAGTTCTGTTTGTTTGTTTTTTGTTGTTTAACGCCGCACTCAGCAATATTCCGGCTATATGACGGCGGTCTGTAAATAATCGAGTCTGGACCAGACAATGCAGTGATTGACATCATTAGCATCGATCCACGAAATTAGGATACGATGACATGCATCGACCAAGTCAGCGAGCCTGACCACCCCGTCCCGTTACTCGCCTCTTCTGACAAGCATAATCGACTTTTACGGCAAGCATGGGTTCTACCCCGAGTTTTCAGGGGAAGATAAGTTATGAGCCTCACATATGAAGTATAGAAGTAATAGTGAAATTATTTGTTGTGGACATGAAATCAATATTCATGTTTACGCAGAAACGTGCGTGTTTCATGCATAAAATCAATAAAACGTCCACAAGATATTGCATGCGTGTTTTGCATGCAGTGCACTTTAACTGTTAACACTGCAAACACGACATGGCACCAAATGTAATGACATCACATATCCATCTGTTATGCACAGTTAGCTCTATCGGACAATCGCTCACAATTAATTCCACTGTCAAATAACAATATTATTTGGACAGAAAACCGAGTGTTAGAAAGCGTCCAAAAAACGTCGTTCTTTACCCAATATATACGAAAGAAAATGACGTGTTCGTGTTTTCACTGTAATATCAGTACATCACAAAAATATAAGAAACATCAAATATCATTTACTGTCGTGACTTCCTGCGGTCTTGCCGAACGTGAAACCATTATGTTGACATATAATAGTCAAAGCACAACAAATATTACTTGTAACGGGTCAGTGGAAGGTATTTGTGATGTCGTTATTAATTCCGTGTCACCTTAGGTTTGTTCCAAGGCCAATAGCGGTAATCTAATAACGGTCCGATCTGCCAATCAGGTTATAAATGATTCGACAAAATTTAAAAAATGGAATGAAATTTTGAATTAAAGTTAATAAAATCGATTACAACCATAAGCTCAGATATACAGTGAACATTTATTTAATAACAAAAATATATAATATTAGTGTAATGACAGGATTAGTTTCAGTACGGATATGCTGACATGGTATTGAGGGCTCACAAAAATGTCTTGCATTGTGAAAAAAACATCAAAAGCATGTAGTCTTTTATTGTGCGCACACCAATCTACATAGATGTAATGGTTGGAAAAAAGTGATCACCATGTATATCCATACAATCTTGATTCAGTGACCTTTGGAAGGTGGACAAAATTGTGGAACGTGCAGTGATCAAGAACTCCAAAACTCCAAAAGCCATAAATGAAGATATGAGTACAGCAGTGGTAAACAATGCCCCTCCTCTGCCACACACCTAAAAGGAGGGCAGCAGATTTTAAGCTTGGCATAGATAAACTTGACGACAACCCCTGTTCCCTGTCCTGACGTCAGCAACACTGGGACTGATCCCGAAAAACCAACATATGGTGATAACCAACAAGCGAATTACTGAATTGCTAGATCATTATGCATTGCCATGTTGTTGTCAGTCATAGTTCATGTTTAAATAATGTATCAACTGTTTTCACCATGCAAGATGTGAACACTGTAAGAGATGTCTAAGTTAAAACATGTTGGAGATCTGTACAAAGTTTACTTTGTGTTACAGCAACACCGACTGCCGCACATAGGGAATCAATGGGAGACTGTAAACTATTTGAAGCTAGCTACAGGGGGGACCTGGAGGCTGTTAAGTGCATCCTGGCAGCCGGTTTGGCTGATGTCAACTGTAGAGACAGGGACGGGAGGACACCAATGATGTGGGCAGCACGACATGGACATAGAGGAGTTGTAGAGTTCCTTGTGAGTGAAGGAGCTGATGTGACACTGGTCGACGGTGTCAGTAACAACATCCTTCACTTAGCCTGTGTGGTTGGAGACGTGAAGGCGGTGAAGTTCATTCTCTCAAGGAACATGTTGATCATCAACAGCAGAGGAGAGCAGAACAGGACACCAGTGATGGTGGCAGCACTGTGTGGACATGGAGAAGTGGTAAAGTCCCTTGTGAGTGAAGGAGCTAATGTGTCTCTGGTGGACAGTATCGGTAACAACATCCTTCACTTGGCCTGTGCGGGAGGACACGCGAGGACGGTGAAGTTTATCCTCTCGACAGACATGACGGACATCGACAGTAAGGGAGAGCAGAGCCTGACATCGGTGATGGTGGCTGCACTGTTCGGACACAGAGACGTTGTGGAGCTCCTTGTCAATGAGGGAGCTGATGTGTCTCTGGTGGATGATGGCGGTGACAACATCCTTCACTTGGCCTGTGTGGGGGGAGACTTGAACACAGTGAAGTTCATCCTCTCACGGAACATGGTGGACATCAACAGTAGAGGATCTCTAGTGACTCCAGTGATGCTGGCAGCACAAAAGGGTCACACAGAGATAGTGAAGTTTCTTGTGAGTGAAGTAACTGATCTATCACTAGTGGATGATGATGGTGACAGCATCCTTCACTGGGCATGTGTGGGAGGAGACGTTAATATGGTGAAGTTCATCCTCTCACGGAACATGGTGGACATCAACAGTAGAGGATCTCCAGTGACTCCAGTGATGCTGGCAGCACAAAAGGGACACACAGAGATAGTGAAGTTTCTTGTGAGTGAAGTAACTGATCTATCACTAGTGGATGATGATGGTGACAGCATCCTTCACTGGGCATGTGCGGGAGGAGACGTTAATATGGTGAAGTTCATCCTCTCACGGAACATGGTGGACATCAACAGTAGAGGATGGTGGGGGACACCAGTGATGCTGGCAGCACAGAATGGACATGGACAGATGGTGAAGTTCCTTGTGAGGAATGGAGCTGAGATGTCACATGTTACCAAACGTGGTAACACCATCCTTAACTTTGCTTGTGTGGGAGGAGATGAGGAGACAATGGAATTTGTCTACTCACAGGGCAAGGCAGACACTGATGCCAGGAACAAGAAGGAGCAGACAGCTGAATAACTGTTGGATCTCCTGGTGTTATGTGGTTCTTACTTGAAGTGAGTTGTTAGTGCAGACGTCGAAGGAATTGACGAGGTGTGTGTCCTTTATAGGTCTTTGTGTTTTATATGTCACGACTAGGATGATAATGTTTGTTTTGTTTAAGGAAATATTTGGAGACATTTTGAGATGCATGACATCACAAAGAGGGTGGAACCATTATGAATATGCTCGATGTTTTCGTTATGCACATCGAACTGCCTTGTTTTAAGTTTAAGACAAAAAATAAGACTGACATGTCGTAAACCTGTCTTAGGTATCCATCATGGCGTCCTACCTTTTGTTTGGGCTTCTCGATTGAGAAAAACAATCAACCCTAACACCTTCCGGGAAGAAAATATTCCGTGACAGGACGAGTCAACTGGACACGCTAGATGACACGCAGCTTATATCCAGATATAGGCTAAATCGGCATGCCATCATGCAAATTATTGCGAGTCTGGGGTCCTACCTCGAACGACCGACCAAGCGTTCGGTACCTCTATCACCCGAAATGCATGTTTTGATAACTCTACGATACTTTGCAAAAGGTGGTTTTCAGTCTGAAAACGGGGACCTGCACGGTGTCAGTCAACCTAGTGTATCGAGGGTGATACACAAAACCATAAATCTACTGTGCAAACATCTGAATTTGATACACTTTGCAAACGATGCCACAACCCATCAAAACACAAACGAAAGATTTTATGACATAGCTGGGTTCCCCAATGTAATAGGGTGCATCGATGGCACGCTGATCGCTATTGTTAGACCACCGCATGATGAGGAGGTCGCTTACATGTGCCTTAAGGGTTACCATGCCATCAATATTCAAGCAATTTGTGATGCTGATCTCCGGTAATTGTACAAGGTTTTATAATAGTAATCAAATTGTATATTGAATGAGAAAGATACAGACTGCTATTTCATACATCGCCACGATCACATTAAATGTACCGCCTCGCATAGTTGACCTTGACCATGACCCATTGCGCCCCCTGTCAATAAACCCACCCAATGACATCGAAGGGGCAAATAAAGGTTTAAGGAAGGGGTTCCTATAAGGTTACTGAATTATAATATTAACAGTTTGTGATGATCATACACACATTGTTCTGTCAGTAGAATGAAATGTGAAAAAAATATGTTTTTGAAATGAAATAAGTATCAAATCCATGACTTAAATGTAAAAGTAAACAATGTCAATGTCAGTAAATGTACACAAATTAATTAACTGCTCCCTGGAATTATTTGTGACAATAATATTTAAAATTATTAATTAAAGTAGTGTAAACTTATTGGATTTATTTTCAATTTAACTTACCAAGTGTGATTGCGGGATTAAACATATCAACATTTGTTAAATTAATTTAAGTGAATATTTGAAAAGATGGAAGGAATGAAAATGATATGTTTGTTTGGAAAAACAACAACAACAACAACAATAACAATTGTATGGTTTGAAGCAGTTACACCACCATCTCTCCAATATAACACTTGGTTGACCCATTCTAGGAGATCATTAATAGAGATAATGAAAATATATTTCCACTATTTTAGTTTTACCAACATTGTCTGTAGATGGCCAGGGGCAACTCATGATGCATTCATGCTGTCAAACAGCAACATTGGCACCAAATTAGAGCAGAATCCTGTGGATGGATGGTTGCTCGGTGACTCTAGGTATAACAACATTCTCATGTGAAAAATAACATCAACGTAGTTTTGATTGTAATTTGTAACACTTTATTTTTGCAGAATACCCTTTAATAAAGGAATATGTCACAATTTGGAAATGCTCAGATAAATTGACAGGTTTCAAATAAATTAATTAATGATGAAAGTAATGTTGCATTGAAGGAAAATAAAAACCCATCGATTACAGTCACATATTCTGCAAACACTTCTAACCAACATTTATCTCGTATGCCTGTCGGCCATGGCTCCTCACTCCTCTTTCAAACCCACAAACACGTGCCCACTGCAGAACCAGAAACACCGTTGAGAGGGCTTTCGGGGTGTTGAAGTCTAGATTCCGGTATGTATAGCAATAATTACGTAGGCCAAAACAATGTAGATTTTGAAGTTTTTCTTTCAAAAAACATTAAATTATTTCTTTTAAATATATAACATTATTCATGTTTTATGGCGTCTATAAGTAAGAAAAAACCCATACATGATTGATATATTAACTGAATTGCCACAAGATAACTTTTGCAATCTCTTGCTGTGGATATATAAGATATGAAAATGTGTATAAATGTTACAACAAGATATCATGGACCTATTTGTGATGGGTTTCAAACCAGGCGTGGTGTTATCCGCCAATTTTTCTCAAGACAGTGAACAATACTGAACATGTGAAAAAATTAAACATTCTGACATGAACTGAAATGTTTCTTCTGAATTAGTGAGTGTGTATTTATGCCGCTTTTCGCAATGTTCCAGCAATATCACAGCAGGGGACACCAGCAGCAATGGGCTTCACACATTGAACCCTTTCGAACCTGGGTGTTTGGCGTGATGAGCAAACTCTTTAACCACAATGCTACCCTACGGCCCCTCTCCTAAAATAGACCTAGCAGAGTCAAATATTACATATATATTTACGACAACAACGCTGAAATAGTAATTAATGATGAAATGAAATAAGAGGAGACAGGCACTGAACATTCTTTTCTGCTTGTTTCAGCAACAAATTTTCTTCATTTATTTTCAAATTTCTTTCATTTATAGCAAGATTTCTTTCCTCAATACTGAGACGCTGGATTTCTACTGACAGAATCTCCATTTTCCTTTCCTCTAAAGCCACCAATTTGTCTCTTGTGGTTGGAATTTGTCCTGAAAATATGAGTAGTATATTTCAGTACATCAAATCAAATTGAAACATGAATAAAGGTAATGTATGCTTTTTCCATAATCAAAGTACACAATATATATGTGAAAGTTTTTGGAAATTATTTGTTTTTTTCTCACCTGTTTCTCACATGTTTATAATATTGAGTGAACATTTATATGAGAAGTTGTGAGAGGAGTTGAAAATCTTTTTAGACAACAAAGGTACATTTTTTTATTTACTTTTTTCACTGGTCTTACATGTTATAAATCTTTGTGTGAATGGTCAGACCTGTGATATAGTTGAATTATCATGACAAGTTATGTCAGATCAATGATATTTTAATACCTTCCACAGCTAGTACAGTCTGAACAACTGCTGCTTTCTGTTGTGACTGCTGCTTTCTGTTGTGACTCCAGCTGTGGTGGTGATGGTGGTATAAAGAACACTGACTGCTCGTCAGGCAGACAGACATTTGTCAGGTCTTCGGGAACATCTAAAGATAATGAATAATCAGAATGTATAAGTTTTCATGCAACTGACATATTTATTTGTGACATTGACTACACTAACATCTTACAAGTGTTTTAATGACATAATGTCGAATATATTTGTAAGTGGAATCTTTATCACTGGTCATTTATAATTAAATAAGAATTAATGTTGATATGTTTTTCTATGTTATGATTTCAGATTTCTGTAACTTACATTCATTGACATCACTCTCCAATCCACCCTCACAACCGTCAATTTGACAGGAGGGAATCAGTGATACAATCTGTAAATACATTTTAATGAAGATTGTAAATTTCAAAGATTTGTAACACATAACAATAAAACATTAAAAATGTTTTATGTAGTAACCCTGTTCATGATAGATGTGAATAAATGTATCAAATGTGAAAACAATTAATACAAGTGATTACAATATACTGTAAATGTGTCATTTAGCCTGGCTGATTACATAGAAGTTATAGTAATCTTTGATATGCCAATGTAATCAACAACTCTGCTCTGCAACTTCATTAAGTGGTTGATGTGGTGGTCCTCCTCCTGTTGCACTAATCACTCTTTTTAGCGAGGCAGCCTTCCTTCTTGCTTGGCTTCTGAATACCAGATTATATCACAGTTTGAATTTGCAAGTTATAAAGGAAATTTGATCAGTCTAAATGTTTAATAAAAGATTCTATCATCGCTTGACACTCTTAGTATTGTATATGTTTTCATATAGTAAGCAAATTTGTCTAAACATAGGCAATTCAAAAAAGTTATTGACATGTTCATATCAGCCAGAAATATGTCATTTTTTTTTTTTACATAGATTGATGCTGCTAAAAACATTCTTGAATATTTATATAGTATGTTAACAGTACTGGGTTCATTTTGTTTTGAATACAAATCATACCATTATCAGATATGGCCAATGCACTTACTTAATGTCAGTTCATTTCTTCTTGATCTCCTTCTCATTGCTTTTGACCAAGCTGTTGGCACAGATTCTATTAAAAAAAATCACATAATGTCACCAAATACTATCAAAATTTTGTTTTAATACTTAATTACTACACATTGTACAAATTGATACCTCTGTTCTATATATATAATGTATGACGTTAATAATTACTTGCATAAAACAAATTAAAAATACTTACAAAAAATACAAAACGCCGATAATAAAATGTGATGTTTTTTTTCCACTTCTTGAATTAATATGTCTACTTCAATTGGCATCCAGTTTACTTTCCTGATGCGTTTATGTTTCGGAGGTGAGTCCTTGGTGCACAGAAGACGCCCGTCTGCCCGTCAATGTAGGTCAAGGGAATTCCCTTATGACGTCACTGGAAAACACCCGACCCTTTCTGTCTTCGACAGAAGAGAGCTCCCTGTCTTAGCTGCGACAGCTGTGGTAGCTGAGACACGGCTACGATAGGTTTAAGACAGCTTCAAGAATAGCTCTTATGGCAGTCGTAATTTTTATCATCTGAAGCTAAGACAGCTTCGTGAATAGGCCGCCAGGTGTTTGGCTACAGGTGTATCCTTAAGTTATTTTATGTTTCTTTAAATTCTGTCATTGTTGTCTCTCTATTCGGAGCACCTTTAGAATACAGTACCACAACTTCTCGTGAGGACGATCTCTGCCGTAGGT